CCTGCTCGCCGCCCTGCTGTGCGGCCCCGGCCCCCGGAGCGGCCGTGCCCCCCACGCCGGCTGCTCCCGAGCATGGGCCCCGCTTCAGCGCTGGCTCCCCAGATGCACCCACAGGACTGATCAAGCCGGTATTCGTTACCTTGCACGGGGCCAGACCTGAGCATTGCAGATCTGAGCAGTGCTGCAGGATAATTTGCCTCCGTGGGAAGAGGGTGAACATCCCCGTCGGCCCCAGCTGGTGGCCATGGGGGGTCACACCGCTGGGCACAGGGGCCGGGTGCTTGTCCTGAGTAAAGGACAAATTCCCAACCTCCAGGGGCAGGATGCCCACAACTTTTAACTGAATTATTCACTTTGGGAGACAGAGGCAATGGAAACAAACCACCTGCTTGGGCTGGTAGCCTGGCTACGCGCCATCCGAGCTGCTAAAACCTGCTGTCAGCTCTAACGCTTTTATGCTTCTCCTTTCCCCACCCAGAACTGCTCCCTGAGCAATGAAAATGAGATCTACCTGCGCAACTTCTTGCCGGAGCTGGGGAACTTCACCCAGGGGATGTACAGGCGCCTGGCCAGGTCGGCTGCACAGTGAGACGGGCGCTGCTCCAGCGAGAGCCGCCGCCGCCAGCCCCGAGCCCGGGGATCTTACTGCTGGTAGCTCTTAAAATAGGTTTTGCAGAGTTTTTTTTTGCTCCTCGTTGCACGCACTTCCTCAGCTCTGCCCCAGCCCTCCTAAACACAGTGCAATCCTAAAAGCAAGTCCCAGCGGGTGCGCCGGGCACCCGGGGTCGCTCAGCCGCCTGCCTGGGACCGGGCGATGGGAAACGTCCCCTTCCCGGCAGGCGCCTGGCATCTCCCAAGCTTTCCGTCCGAGTGCCGTGTGTTAGACATCACTCAGCCTCTGCGGGAGAGGTCTCGTCTGGACGACGCTGCCCTCAGCGCTCCCTCGCAGCCCTGCGGCTCTTCCAGCTGGCACGAGGCGGGATGTGACCCCTTGGGAGGGATTCGACACACCCCCCCCGGGAGGGATGGATGCAACCCCTCGGGAGGGATGTGACCCCTCAGGAGCAATGTCACCCCCCGGGAGGGATGGATGCGAGCTCTCGGGGGGGCTGCGACCCCCGGGAAGGCTGGCCGGAGGGTTTGCCTGGCCGGGAGGAGCCAGGCATCACGCCTGGACCGGGCAGCCGAGGAGGTTGAGCTCTTAACTCATTCACCTCCTCCTGCAGCGCTTACCAAAACCAAATTATCTGCTTCCTGTTCCTCTTAATGAAGGGAGGCTTCTTCATAATCGTCTTCTCTTCCTAAAGAGATCAGAATCTAAGTTGAAATGATGCATTTTTCGCTAACGAGTTACTACAGGAGCTCGGGGGGGGGGGGGGAGGGCCCCCCCCGGGGGCCCCGGGGGGGGGGGGGGGGGTGTCACGGTGAGACCCCCCCAGTACCATACTGGTACTCAGCATGGTTTCTTATGCTACCACCAGCTGCATCCAGCCAAGGCAGCTGGTGGCTTGCAGCAGCGCCCGGGATGCTGCATTGGAACCAGGGTGGCGCAGAGCCTCCTGGTTTCACTCCTGCTGTGTGCCGCGCTCCGTGCTGAAGCCTGGAGAAGGGAAGTGTTTTATATGGTGGGACTTGAGGGGACCCCCACCCACCACTCCCCCTTTCGTTGGCTGGTTAGTCCTTGCCCCACTGGTGTGACTTAGTGACCAGGCATCCCTGTTCTGCTGTGTGACCGGAGAAGATCCCTTTTCTGCCATGTGGTGCGCCATGCGTGCTTAGAGGACAC